TGGACCACAAAACCAGTCTTAAGTGTCAATTTTTCAAAATTGAGATTTATACACACTGAATAAATAAGCTTTCCATTGATGTATGGTTTGTTAGGATAGGACAATATTTGGTCAATATTTGGACAATATTTGTATATCTGGAATCTGAGGGTGCAAAAAAATCAAAATACTGAGAAAACTGCCTTTAAAGTTGTCCAAATGAAGTCCTTAGCAATGCATATTACTAATCAAAAATGAAGTTTTAATATACTTAGAGTAGGAAATTTGCAAAATATCTTCATGGAACATGATCTTTACTTAATATCCTAATGATTTTTGGCATAAAAGAAAAATCGATAATTTTGACCCACTGTATTTTTGGCTATTACTACAAATATACCCGTGCAACTTAAGACTGGGTTTGTAGTCCAGGGTCACATTTATGAAAGCGCTTCAAAGCAATTCTGACCACGACAGTCCTGATTTAAGTGTGACATTGTAACTGAAATAGAAGTTGGATGAATAATATTGAGTAAACATGTTAAATCGTTTACAAACTCTATAACCATAGTTGTTCACATGGCTAGTAAAATAAGGTAGGGCACAAACATACCTTAATGATATACAGGGGAGAGTGAGGTAAGCTGTGCCACTTTTCAAGTTGTCCTCTATAGGCAAAGAGAATTTGGAAAACAAATACAACTGACTTAAAAGGAAGCGCCTAACACAGGGCCTTAGAAATATGACTGATCCAGTGACACAACTTGCCCCATAGGGGTAAGTTGTGTCAAGTCAAAAATGTTGTTAAAATTGTGAATATGTGAACAATATTTATTTTTAAATTAAAATTATAAACATAAATGAGAAAAAGGGATAATGCACAATCCAGTTCACTGCACATTATTCAATTTTTTTTCACATAAGCTGCAAGATAAAGGTTATATATTCAGACTATTTGAATGCAGTAAAGCAATTTTCAACATTTTGTAACAGTAGTTACTGAATTTGAATCATGCTACCCGTTTAGCCACTGACACAGCTTACCCTGAAGCATCTGGCACACACACATTATAAAAGTGCTTAATCTAATAATTGATTAAATAATGCTATAATTTACATGGTTTTCTAAGTTGTTGAATGACCAACATGTATGATACAGTACATACACTATGTGAAAAGTTTGGAATATATATATATATATATATATATATCAACGTCTTTGAAATAAGTCTCTTATGCTCACCAAGACATTAAAGAATGCATTTATTTGAATAAGAACAGAATTTATTTGAAATAGAAATCTTTTGTAAGATTATAAATGTTTTTACTGTCACTTTTGATCCATTTTAATGTGTTCTTGCTGAATAAAAGTAATGTCACATGAGCAATTTATGCTTAAAATTCAGGAATAAATTACATGTTTTAATATTTTAAAATAGAAAAGTTATTTTTTTTTTACCTGTAATAATATTTCACAATATTACTGTTTTTACATAATTTTTGCTCAAATGAATGCAGCCTTATGAGCAACGGAAACTTTCGAAAATATTAAAAAGAAATACACAATTTATTCCTATCTTTTGACAGGTAGTGTATTTTTACACCTGAATAAATTTGCTATGACAAAAAAATGTACCTGCCTTGTAAAAAAAAAAAATATATATATACTGTGATAATTTACATGTGCATTTCTTACTAAAACCCTCACTGAAGCTACAACACATCTAGAGGAAAAGTAAACAAACAGTGGAAGGGAACTCTTGTGTATTTGTTTGGACAGTGAGGTGTGTGTGTGTGTGTGTGTGGTCACGGTCACTCTGATGTGTGTTCAATACAAGGTCCGGCAGTCCACAACACTGGTTTCTCTGTGTAAGAGGGTGTGTTTGTGTGTTTAGCCCCCTAAATCAGTGCAAAGTGTGTGTGTTGATCTACTTTTCTGGCTGAGGAAGTCCATATAATCACCTGGGAGTTTCCAACTGGCCTAGAAAATGGTCTTGCTAAATAGACTGTTTTGGAAATTAAAACACTTGTGTAAGACCTTAAGCACAGTATGGGCCTGTGTTATCCTCTTTTCAATGTTATAACACTTTTTTATTAATAAAACTAAAATTACCAAAAAAAATAAATGCAACGTGTCTCATTTTCATTTCTCATCTCATTTAACTTGATGTAGTAAAATAAGTCAAATTAAAACTGAAATAAAAATGTATAAAAACTGAAGACATGTTTTAAAAAATTGAATAAAAACTGGAAAAAACTAAACAAAAGTACTAACATTTTAACTAAAAAACAAAAATGAAAACAGAATATAAAAATATTTTGCCTCTTATGTAATGTCATCTAAAGTTGGTTTGATGTAAAGCATACCACAGAAAACCACTCATAGTATAAATCTAATTTGCCTGTAGACATTTAACAGACATTTAATCAACAAGTTGCTCTCAGACCAGAAAGAACACAATATAGTGCTTTAATTCAACCATTTATACCAATATTCAGCCAAATGTATCGATTACAACAAAACACCATCTGTTGATAACATTGAAAACATGAAAAATATCCCAATAATGACACTGGATAAGCTCACTGAAATTTACTGACGCACAGGCTGGGTCAAATTACACCCAAAATCCAAAGTAAAAATATGATTTTGCATCAAGAGAAAATTAAACCCAGTTTGCACCATTGAGATTTGACCAAGATTTTTTTTTTCTTTTTGCATTGTGACAACGTAATTCAAAATGTTACTTACTTTATTGACTATAATACAAAACACTTCTCAATCCTCCTGTCAGGAAGCAATAACTGATTTAATTAAACTGTATTATATATTAATAATATATATTTTTCACATTACAGTAAAAGGATTCCATTTCCTTTCCTAGTTTATTTTCTGGGGCGAAATATGATCTGAACATTTCTTGACAGTTTTTGAGAGATCCACCCATAAAGATTTCTGTAAAACATACAGTAAAAATCGAACATAAATAAAAGCACTGAACAGACATAATGGCACAGTCAAAAATATAGAATCTACAAATTAATAAAACACAGCTAAAAATATTTAACACAGTAATGAGTTATGTCCCTTTGTTTCCATTATTTTAAAAATCTATAGATAGTTTTTTTTTTTTTATTGTAACAGGCTTACAAAAATAAATACAATTATTGATATCATAAAATGCAGGACAAAAATGTGTTTGGTTTCTCAAAAAACAAAAAAAAAAGACTTTCAAACTCAAAAAATGAATTCCTTCCAGACATTAGCGTAAATCAAAAACTTTGGTACTGATACTACATCATGAACACTGCTGAAATTTACAGGTTGTCTTGAGTATACAACAAAAACTCTGGGACTCCAGCAGCAGAAGTGACTTGAACTAAAGCCTCTTTATAAATTGAAGTTCCTCCAAACAGTGTGACGCTCTGTTAAAAACACATACATCCTTTCCCAGGCCGACCTGAAGCAACACAGATCCTATAATGGGAAACAGCCCCTCCAAAATGGATGGATATGTAAACATAAGGCCTACACAGACGTGATGGAGTCCTGAAGGATTCTGGGTGTTTTGGTGTAATTATGTATTAAAGACGTCCCGTGAGCTGGAGGTGAGGGGGGATGAGTTTAGGGTCACCAGGAGAGGTGCAGATGAGGATGTTGTTGTAGTTGAGCTAGTAACTCTTCTTCTGTCGGCTCTTGGACGTGCTCTCTGAAGACGGAGGATGGGCAAAAGAACAGAAAAAAAAAAAATCAGATATTTAAACAACCAAACTATAATTTCTCTCTCATCATTTACTCACTTTCCACTTGTTCTAAGTCTGTAAGGGTTAATTTCTTAATATTTTGCAGAATGTTGATAATCAATCAGTTGACGGTAGCCATAGTATTTATTTATTTTTTTCCATACTATGAAAGTCAGTGGATACCGTCAACTGTTTGGTTATCAGCATTCTTTCAAATATCTTTGTGTGCGTGTGTGTGTGTGGGTGTGTGTGTTCAATAGAAAAGAAACAGGAAGAAACATGTACAGGTTTGGAACTACTTGAGAGTACAGCAAGTAAATGATGACATAATTTTTCATTTTCATTTCATTTCAGTAAACTGTAGTCATTTCAAAATAAAAGTCACGTAGGGCTTGTTTACAATTAAAAGTACTGCGTAATGCATAAAGTTCCCTCTGGGCCACCCAGCCACAAGAAGGAAAGACTAATAACATTATTTAATCTATCAATATAAATCATTTTACTAGTTTCAGCACAATCTTTTTTTTTTTGGCTCTATTAAAAACATTATTATCATATCAGTAAAATCCCATATTGACCTCCAATTCATATGTATTTATGTACTGGTACATAAACCAATTTAATATTAGCAAAACAGGGTAACTGCAAATCTAAGTCAACCTATTGAATTAGGTAAAATAATCTGAGATTTATGATTTATTTTGAGATTATATGGGTTTGTTCTGTATAGACATTATTATTATTATTATTATTATTATTATTATTATTATTATGTGCAGTTCTTATAAAGTCTTAAATTTGGCAGATTTATAAATTCAGCAGATATCCTGGATATGATATTTTTGCCATATAAACCCCTAAAATAGTTTTAGTTTGGCACATGATTGTTGGATAGGAATGTTGTTCCAGGACCAACAAAGGATGTTGATCCAGCAAAATGACAGAAATAAATAAATGTATTGCAGAAATACTATATATTAGGAAATGAAGATTTGTAGTTGATCGTGAGGAGTGATAAACAGCAGGATAAACCACACCACATTCCACTAAATTAAATCATTACCCTTCCTTAATCAGAGAGGAATGTGAGGGAAAGCTGTGAGGAAAGAGCAGAGCGCAGCCTGAAATACTGAGCACAGGAACCTCAGGCAAATTCTGTCAAGTATTGGAGCTAAGGTTTGGAGCTAAGGTATACTCGCTTGTTCCCATAAAATCACATACAAGACTAGTGGTCGACCGATATGGGTTTTTTGACAGCCGATACCGATGCCGATATCTTGGAAAGCAGGGTGGCCGATGGCCAATATAAAGCCGATATAATTGTATTTATTTTAATTAATATTTAAGAAATTTGAAATCATTTGTTCAAAATAAAACTATAAATCACCGACAGGCTATAGGACTGCAAAAATAAATGCTTAAATACCAAGTGTTTTGTAATAATTAGTTTAACATGTATTCATTCCATTACCATTCATTCATGCTTCCATTTTGTCTACAAAAATAGTTTTTCCTTCCATATAACTCAATACAGATCAACACTGTGAGATTCAAAAAGAATGTGTACTGTGAATTTGTATTGACAAAACAAGCATTCACTTCAATTCACTTCATTTCCAATTTATTTTCAGCTCCATCTCTTGAATTATCACCACTGTCAGACAAACATTCTGACAGGACTGACAACTTGATGGTGTTCACAAAATATTTAACAATCAAATCTGAAACAGTTCTATTGGTCCTATTCTATTGATTCTCACCGATTCATTTTAAAGTGGAAATGTTTGCTATTTTTAGAACTAATGGCCAGTAAAACCGTGCGACTCGTTTTCTCCCAGGTCTCTAGAATCATTGATAAGAACTTTTCGAATAGCTTTATTCATACCTGAACATAAGCTGTACAGTGCTTTGATAGGCAATTCTCTCCACATCCTCAACAGAGAGAGCGTTACTGCGGTCCCACTTATAGGTGAAGTTCTGAACAAAGGAGAGAAGAAGAAAAAAAACAGGGTTAACTAGCATGCTTAGAAACAAATTTACTGCTCTGTCAAGAAAAGGTCCGAATTTATTGATTCAGTTCATGATCTGATCATGACAAACAGTAATGCTAACTAACAGGATGTGCTACTACTGTAATTAAGGTTAGGGGTTAGTATTGGTTTCAGTGTTCTATAGGCAATCAGCACTGTGACCAATGAAATCTTTAAAATCAGCTATGGGGCAGGGTGTGTGCTTTACTGGTTTGGGGGGAAAAAATCATGCTATTGATAATTTGTTCAGATCAGATTTCTGTCATAAAAATAGGAGTACATATTTTTTTTTCCTTTTGGAATAATGTGCACTGTGTAATTCACATTAAGACTAGGAATGTGTATTAATAATGTAAATATGGTCAGTTTTGAATTATTTTCACCAAACAATCTACATACCTCCAAAATGAGTGCCACAAATAGGTTGACCCACATGACTGAAGATGTCAACCACCAGGCCACAAAATACACCAAGGACCACCTGACATGGAAGAATTATGGGTACAAATTGACAAAACTCTGTTCAGTTAAAGCAAAAGTGTTAAAGACAGACACAGGGTGTGTGTGTGTGTGTAGGGTGTCTAGCTTACTCCGTAGTGTATCTGGTGTATGCGTCCGTGAAAACGTGCCAGTTATTCACCACCATGATGTTATAGAGCAGAACCAGAGAGGACTGGAAAAATATGACAGGAAGAATACAGTTACATTTATTTGTAAGACCAAAAAACAGTTTTCCTTAATTTTATGTTGGCTTAAACCTAAAATATATAAAAACAAAACAGAAATATAGTCGGGAATAATATTTTAATTGCCACTTTCAAATGTGAAAATAGTATTAAAATAAAAACAAATCTGAAAACACAATGTAATACTATAAACCTAGCAAATTTGTTCAAATCCACTGACTACTTATTCCTCATACGTGCTTATTATAGCATTCTGGGAACTTGTTAAAAACCAAGTTCCCAGATACCTCTGTGCAACTTACAGCAAAATCATCAAAGTTGTTTGGCCAGTACTCCAGCTGTTCAAAAGTGCCACAATCCATGCTGAAGGGACCCCCCGTTTTGTTCTCTGTGCTGGAGTCGGAGATTAGACTGAAAGGAGAGCATATATAGAGAGAAGAGGCTCTAAAAACTATGAAAATAATAAGAAATGTTTCTTGAGCATATATGATAATAATGATTTGATTTCTGAAGGATAATGTGACACTGAAGACTAGAGTAATGGAATCACAGGAATACATTACATTTTAAAATTACATTAAAAAAGAAAACAGTTATTTTTAAATTGTAAGATTATCTCACAATAGTTTTTACTGTATTTTTATGTTTCCTGTTAAATGTGCAGTTGATGAACAGTACCTCATGTTTGATGGAGGGGTTATAGCTCCCTGGAAAAGCCAGGTACCAAGAACTGCAAACACATAGTACACCACCTGCATCAGAGAAATGTACAAGTGAAGAGAGACCAACCTCATTATCAATGATAAAACTGCTAGTAAACGGAGTCTGTTCACTCACCAATAGAATGCCAGCAAATGCCCGCAAGTTTTTCACCAGGTCCACAAGAGTGCTGGCCACCACGGCCATCAACTAAAGTGTGCACACACAAAAAAAAAGACTTTAAGCATGTATTAGTGCTCTTTACGGTATGACCAATTATGCCAATTATGTGAAAAAATACTGGCTCCAGTGAATTGTTTTTAAATATGTAAGAAATAACGTACAGTCAGCAAGTTATTAGCACCAAAAAAGCAAAGCTTCTTTTTGGAAGAAAAGCAAACCAGTAAGAAAGACAAAGGCCTGAAGAAAAAAAACTCAGAATAGAAATCTATCTATCTATCTATCTATCTATCGATCGATCTATCTATCTGACCAATTATGCTGTGTGTCTGTTGAAAGTCATGGGCCTTCCAGGAGGATAATTATTGGTTGGAATTAAAATACTGCACTGTTCTGAAGTGGCAAGCAATGAGTACAGATCAAAATACCCCTAAATGCCATGAAAAGAGCTGAAAACAACAGTTGGAAGAAGTCATTTTAAATCAGATAGTAATTTAAAATCGGACCATATTTTAAATAAATGGTGCCAAAATTGTCCAGGCCATTTATATTTTTTGGTGGCTAAAAAGTTTATTTTGCATTTTGCAATCTTTTTTATTTTGGTGCACTGCAAACCTTTCAATTTGAATGGTGACCTGCAAGAAACAATAAAAAAAAAAAAAAAAAAAAAAAATAAATGGGCGGTATGTTTAGCACAGCTGTAGTATCGTTGCAGCTAGTGTGCATTTAGGAGATTAATGTGGTGATTAATGTGAGGAGCCCATCACCAACCTTGATTTCTGGAATTATCCTGAGGAAACGGAAAACAATCAACATGTTGACCAGTCGCACCATCTCCCACAAAGCCATCACACGTTGTGGAACCGGATCCCTGTTAAGATAAGAGTAAAACGTCACATTAAAGCATTTGGAGAAGAGATCAGGTGATTTGATCTTCAAATTGAGTACACTCACACGTCCTCATATGGAATCCTGTACATGATGAATATGGCAATCTGAATTGCCTGTTGAGAATAAAAGAAAAACACAATACATCTCCAATTATTGCCTTCACCACCTAAACAGCTATGCATACTGCAGAATTCCTAATGATAATTTTAAATAGCATTAAATTACAAAAAAAAAAAAAGACAGGAAATGTTACCAGAAGAAGAACAGTGAGGAATCCATCAAAAATGTTATTCCTGTAAGACAGGTAACCTCTCCAACCAAAAGCCACTATTTTCAGCAGCATCTCTATTAAATAGTACAGGATGAAAATACAGTTGAGGATCTAAAAGACAGAAAATATATTTAGATTTATATTTATAGAACCACTCAAAATTCAGAAAACACATATATCAACTATTGCTGAAAAAACACCAGGGCATTTTTTAAATCCAGCCAAAGGATTTAACACAATTTAGTTTTACAAACAAACCAACCACTAATATTTCTATATGAAATTATATTATTACAGCAACATAATTTTTTTTGTCAGTGCATGAAACGGTCACCTCCATATAGAAGTTATTTTTCTCGGAGGCAGATTTCTCTGAATTCAGAACCAAGACAGTCTGCAGAAAAACAATAACAAATATCAAAGATGAACTTCAAGATTCAAAGATTCGAAACAACTACTCAGTACACGGTTTGTTTTTTGCATATGCTATCCACAAGATGGTACCATTTCGCAATAAAACTAGAAACATGCGCTCAACATAGACTTTGCGATCTATTTTTGTGAACTAAATTATTCAAATAATTTTCTGATTTGATTTCAAATAATGCTCTATTTTTTTTTTTAATAAAAAAAAAATGAATAATACAATTATTAAACAAATTTTTAATTATATGAATTGTAAGTTTTTATGGTATGAGCACTTTTACATTTGTGGATTTCACTGTTTTGTATAAAGTATAATCTGCGGTCAGTGTTTAAATTTAAATTTACATTTAATGACTTGTTTGTGTAAGAGTAAAGTGTAACACTTGATTATTTCATATTAAAACTTATGTATTTAAATTCAATTCCATTTAATTTGGAATTTCTATCTCAAGAGCCCCTTGCAGCTCCATCATGAACCACTAGGTGGTGAACAACCAATTTGGAAAACCCTGTTTTAATCTACTGAATTCTGGAAATGTATGTAATGTTCTTCATGTAGGGTGATGTATGTGATAATAAAAGCAAGTCAAAGGAAATACGGTTTCTTACACAGATACAGATGACATTAGCCAGAGCAACAACGTTCCCCAGTATAGTAATATAAAAGTGACTGTAGATATACTGGATAAGCTGTAGGACAGGAGAACTGTACTCTGGTTTTGGTGGATGCTGCAGGGAAAAGACAAAAACAGAACAGTCAATGCATCTGTTGACACCAAAGATAAATTCAGAATTAAATTGAAAGTGACTTAAAATTCCAGTTCAACTCCTTCAATTTGAACCTAAGGAAGTAAAATCAAATTTAAATGAAAATCAAAGAAAGTCTGCCGTAAGTGTAGTTTAATATTACACTCCAATTTCAAGCTGAATCACCAATTAACATGATGAAACGCAAAACATGAGGCATTTCCTGAAAAATAATATGGTATTAATATTCAATGTTTACAAAAGAATTTTCTACACAATTTATATTAATTATACATATTATATTCAATAATATATCAATTTAATAATAATTTATTAATTTATCATATTATGTATTATTATACATTATTTTATTTACTATAATAATTTAACTCATTTGTTTGGACCATGGTTGAAGAACACATTATTTTCAAGAATGCTCTATTAATTGTATTTATTTAAAAGGAGCTAAACAAAATGAAGCAAACTTACAAGATGCAAACTTTAAACAGTTATCTATCCTTGCCTGTTTTGTTGTTGTATTGGACTAATTAAAGGGATAGTTCACCCAAAAATGAAAATTCTGTCATTAATTACTCACCATCGTTTTCCACCACACGCATGGTACTGTCATAAACGCGCGTCCAATGTGACGCAGTAGAGACGAAAATGTGGAATAAAGTCGTTATTTTTGTTTTCTTTGCGCAAAAAAGTATTCTCGTAGCTTCGTAACTTTATAGTTGAACCACTGATGTCACACGGACTACTTTGTCGATCATCTTGGTACTTTTCTGGACCTTGAACGTGGTAATTACACTCTAAAAAAAATGGTTCTTTACATGCAGTAATGGTTTTATTTAGAACCATAGCATTCTGAAGAACCCTTTTATACTGAAATGGTTCTTTGTGTTAAGAGTTTAGAGTTCTTTATTTCCGCCCTTTTGTTTTTCAAATCTGTAACTGACAAAGCAACTCATTACTGATTTTCTGGAGCTCAGTGATCCAACCACAGACTGTCAACACACTCTCAACAGGTAAATGATTTCATTCTTAAAATTTAAATACAAATTTAACTTTAAAAATGTAACTGGTTTCCAAACAAACATGTTCTTATCTTGTTTTTTGTTTTTTTTTGGTCACATATAAGTATGTGCAGCTCTGCTAAACTGTGGAAACTTTTCTCCTCTTCTCCATCCACTAAGTAAGTAAAAGAGACAATGAATTTATAATTCATATTGTTAGATATTTTTTATTATTACTTGGGTTTATATAAACATACCCAGTCACAATAAATATTAAAACTATCCCATGACTTTATATCACTTTTTTCTTTTACGATTGTGAAGGGCTCATATACTGTCCATTTTTGCTTTTGGCCTTCATAAACATTATTGTTTTTACGCAAACACATGGACACACTGTAACTCTAAACTCAATTGTGTATTTCAGATGTATCACATCCCACAACCTCATCATCTGCAGAGAAAAATCGCTACAATCGCTACTCAAATTGATGGACGTTAAGGCATCATATTGACTGGATTGTGATTGTTTCACTGAAAGTTGTGAAAGTTGGCATCTATTTTTTTTTATTATTTTGTATTTTACTTCTTCATGTTCAATGTCAATTGTCATTCATTAATGTATTCAGCTAATAACTGTTGTTAAGAGCACTGATAATTTTGCATGTCAATAAAAACATAATTCACACAACATGCTGCTGTTGTTATTATTGTTGTTGTTGTTGTTTTAATGTAAAACCCTAACCGAGGCTACACTCTAAAATGCCTCATTACTGATTTTCTGGAGCTCAGTGATCCAACCACAGACTGTCAACACACTCTCAACAGGTAAATAATTTCTTTCTTAAAATGTCTATAAATTATAACTTTCAAATGCTAATTTGTTTCCTATGTCTTTTCTATTTTTAGTTTAAGAACATGTAAGTGTGACCAGCTCTATTCAGTTAAGGATACTCTCCTCTTCTTCACTAAGTAAGTAACAAAGA